ATTTCAGCCTCCCAGTAGTTAAAAGCAAGAGTGTGCAGGCAAGTTTGGTATTTAGTGCTGTTTCTGGTTGTTCTATTCTTTTACACAATTGCATCATGCGACCGTTTCACACCCTAAAAATAAACCCAGCTGGTTTTAAAGCAATTCCTTTGTCCCACTGTGGGACTGGTCACGGCTTTGCGACTCCTGAGAGGCAGTTTCTTGCCTTTTGCAAAAGCTCCCTGTTTTTGATGAGCTGCTTCTCAAAGGCCTCTGGGAAGAGCGAGATTTTCTGACTTAGAGATGCTGTCTGTCTGTCCGTCTGTCTGTCTGTCTGTCCTGGCTTCCCACGATACAGCCGCTGGCTGCCTGCCTCTGTGGCAGCACCTCCTCAGCTGGAGAGGCTGAAGTTGCTGAGAAGGTGCTGGAAGAAGACCGATGCCAGGATGGGCGCCTGCTCCCAGTGGCACATCTGGGACTGCTCTCGGCCCAGAGAGGGGGGACAGAAAGGGAAAAGCTCAGGAACCTCCATTTCTGGTACCTTAAGTGGTGCCCCCAAGCTGGAGACACTGAGGGTAGGAGTTACTTGGCCATGCTGGTGGACATCAGAGCTGGGTCAGCCTTCATGAGGGGTCTGGGCTCCACGTGAGGCCAAGGAGTCGCGCTCCCATGGCACCTCTCCCCAAGGACTGTCCCCAGCCCCACTCTCCCCACAGCTGCCACCGCTGTCGAGTGTGCCCAGGTCAGCTCGACCTCGGCCAGACTCCAACGCACAAAGGCTACAAGAAGTAACAGCCAGTGCCCAGAAACGTGTTCACCCCAGAATCATGTCTTGCCCTGTGACCTGTGGCTGCCACTGGCTCTGGGTCCTGTGCCAGCAGGAGTAGCAGAGCCCGGCTCTGTTTAACTTCTCCTTTGGAGACGGGAGAAGGGACAAGAGCTGTTTACATGACCCGGGCAGCCTCTTCACACAGCTCACGCTGTACTTGCAGCCTCACAGCTCCAGCACAGTGTGTGTCCCCCTCACTGGCAGAAGGTACCCGGGCTCCCTTCCCTGCCTGGCTGCCCCATCCCACCAGGCACATCACTCCATGCATCTTCTGGGGGCATGAGAGTGAAAGAGTTCAAAGAACAACAGTCTCATCTGCAGCATCTGCCTTCGGTTCTTTCCCAAGACGTATTTCAAAACCTTTTTAACAGCACTGACGTCAGAGGAACTTTACAGAAACATCCATCTGTCTCCTGACACATCCGGCTGTGCTGCCCACAGCATCTTCTGCCCTCGCAGGAGCTTTTCCACAGGCCTTGTCTCTTGTCCCATGCCGGTGGCTAGTGACTCCACAGTCTCACCCTCTGTGTTCATCCAGCCCAGCTGCGGCCCAGGGCCATGGATGGGGTGACACAGGGCAGGATGCTCAGCAGGATCCAGGTCCTGCAGCACCAAGGAAGGAGAGCAGAGCAGGTTCACTGAGGGTGACCGGGACAGACACAGCCTGGGGATGGCCATGCCAACCCATCGCAATGAGTGACATCTGAGAAAGCCAAGCTCAGGGTCAAGGCAAATGGCCAGGTGCAGATGGCCATGGCAAAAACTGAGTGCTAGGGCTTGAAGTTAGATGTACCTCACGACCAAATCAGGGAGCCTCCACAGAAGCTTTTCACAGCTCGCACGTCTCCTCTCAGTGGTGTGGTCCCTGCTTACAGAGCTGGCCTCCAGCACAGGCAGCCCAGCCTGCATCTCTGTCCACATCACACTGCTTCCTGCAGATCTCCCCCCAGACCACCCCCCCTTGTCTCCCTGAAACTCCTCCTTTCCCCTAACCCTCCATGGGACAGGACTATGGTGTGAAAGTCACCGTAACGGAAGAGGAATCACTGCCCTCCTGACTGCCCCATCTCTGCCCACACCACCCCACCCAGCAACACCTCCCCAGTGCAGGCAAATCCCCCCCTTCTTTCCCCGTGCCTGGCAAGCCAAGGGTCTGTCCTTCACAGGAGACCTATCAGGAATCCAATCTCCCCCCAGAATACATCTCCTTTGAGCTGCCCTCGCTCAGCCCCTCTCCAATGCCCTGCCCATCTCTGTCTCATCACTGGGCAGGGCTGACCAGAATCCAGCTTTCTGGTCCAAACAAGCTAGAAAAGCTGAATAGCTCTATTTTTTCACCCCTATAATTTAGGGAAAGGGAAGCTGCACTCCATGATCACTCTTCAGCCTTTGATGTATTTCGATGTCTCCTGTAGCCTTGCAATTTTTTCCCCCACATCATTATAGGGTAATACTAAGCGTGTGTAAGAGCTGCCAAAGATGTTTGAAAGGCTTGTTTGTCCCTCCGCAAAGGGAAATCCTCCCCCTCCCTGCCATAAGTGCATACACTTATCACTCCAGAGATTCATTCTTCCTCGAGTTAGCCAGAAGTGCAGTTGCCTTTCTGGCGTTGTTCTTTTTTGTTTATTTGCTATTTCTGACATTCTGCTGAAAAGGGAATAGGAAAATTGGCAAAACACATGGAAAGGAGCTGCCTCATGTGACAATAACATGAGACGAAGCAGGACAAGAGAGGGATTTAATTTGCCTGGTTTTATATTTTTAACAGATGTTGACTATAAAAGAAGGGCTTTTATTCATTTGCATGTGTCAGTGCCTTTTGATGATGGGTTAAGGGGAGAATTTTGACATTGCTTTTATACTGATGTGCTCTCCAGTCAGATTTAATGTGCGTACAGATAAAGCTCACCACACTCCTTGAGAAGAAAGCTTTAAAAAAAATTTCTTCAAATTATCCCTAACTAAATGAGTATCATATACTCATCATCTACTCATGTATGTAGCCTCAGCTTTCCATCTTGCTTTTTGGAAAATGGCTTTGAATGTTTTCCCTGTTTTATCTTTAAAGCAAAGCCCTTCACCTTTAGGGAGATGAGGAGTGCTGTCAGCAGGAGTATGGCCACGGTTCTGCTCCACGCGGTGGCACTCACGCAGAGAGTTAAACCAGCCCAGAGAAGATTGGGTTTGCTGTTAGAAATTTTGCTGTAACTAATCATTTGAGAACATTTACGTGACGTCTCTGACATGCCACAGATCCAGAAATCTCAGGAATATGTGTCTGAAATCCGTCTGGATCAACAGGCTGATGCACATCTCCATCACAGACTGTTTGGACTCCAAGGGATGCTTCGCATAATGCCACCCTGGGTGTTGCTGGCAAAACCAAGCACCTGCTATTTTGCTGTCCAAAAGGAGGAGCCTCTGTATAGATCCACATTTTGGGAGGACGCGGTGATTCTCGTCACGCAAAGTTTTGATGGCTATTGCAAAATGCAGAACCCAAGACACATTTCAAAAAACGCTCAGGAGATCTGAGCCAGTTTGTGCCTTGCTGGGAGCCCTGATGGGAACCAGAGAGCAGAAATTCCCCGCAGCTGTCCCCGCTTCCTACAGACACGGGGCCAACCGCCTCTTCGTAAGGGATGAAATCGTGAACTGGCCTTTTCTGGCCATGTTTTTAGCCCGTCGTTTCTCTTACAGCTGCAAAATCGAAGAATTCCAGGAAAATCTCCATACACATTGGTCTGAGTTAACGAAGGCTCCGCAGACACAGTGGGTCAGGAAGACGTGCTGCCCGGCCTCACGGAGCTGCTCATTGAACAGAGTGAGGTGCTCAGGGCTGAGCTCTCTCTCATTCTCTCCAACTAGAAAAACTCTTTTTTTTTTTTTTTTCCTGTGTAGTTTTTAATTCTTTTGAAAGAAAAAAAACCTCGGTTGTTTTTCCAAGTGGCTGTTAGAAAGGAACCAAGTGTTCTCACAAGCAGTCCCATGGTCACAGGTCTGGATATGCGCAGTGGCTGCAGAAGCGTTCGAAGGGAAAGGAAGCACAAACTCCAACGAGATAAGAAAAGACTTCCAGATTTTTACAAATACGATTGGAAGGACGAGGCGCCTCCACGCTTCACGGCTGAATGGTAAAGTTGCTCAGCTGCAAAATGTTCCTTCTTCCACCAACAGAAAGCTCTTGGCCCGCTGTAGTCTCATGGAATATGTTCCTAGGGGGGTGTTATTGCCTGTAACGGTGTCAGACTCGGTGCTGCTGCCTTCTCCTTGCCCTGCTGCTCCTGGGGAGTAATAGCTTCTGCAAACTCTGTAGCTGCTTAAAACCCTTCCGAGCCTTTTGCATTGCTTATTTTTCTTGCCAAGATTATTTTTAATCCTGAGGGGTGCTGCATTCCAGCTCACGGTGCGGCCCTGCAGTGGTAATTAGGAGGTGTAAAGGCTTAACGGCTGCAGGAGGAGGTGGCAGAAGCAAGAGAGAAATGCCTCCGGTGATGACTCAGTGGGAGGGTTTGATCCCGCCAGGTCCAGCCGCCCCGTGATGCGGGGCCACGTGCGCACGGTGTAACCCGGGGAGCAAAGTCCACGCCGGGGAGACGGAGAAGGGAGAGCGTTCCGTTAGCTGCCGCTCAGCAAAAGCCACCCCGAGGTGAGCCTGGCGCCCCAGAACTTGGCCTTTGCTCAGGAGGAACTCAGGCCCTGTCAGACTCGGAGGGTGAGGTTTTGCAACACGCTTCTCAGAGTGTCGTGGCGGGTGGATGATGACAGCCGTGACGCCTTGTCCCCATCTCCTCACCCCAACTGCCCCTCTCCTCTGGCAGGGACAGGGATGCACTGAAAGGGTTCTCAGCCCTTGGAATGGGCTGCCCAGGGAGGTGGTTGAGGCCCCATCCCTGGAGGTGTTCAAAAGACGGGTTGATGAAGTGCTGGGAGGTATGGTTTAGTGATGATGCTCCTTGTTTGTTGTGTGGGTGTCTATTTTTGTCAGTTAGGTTGACAGTTGGACAAGATGATCTTTAAGGTCCCTTCCAACCTAGAAGATTCTGTGATTCTGTGATTCTGTGCCTGCAGATTGGAGGGTTTTCTGGCTGATCAACGGCATGATCTGAGTCACCGCACCGTTGTGTAGTCGTTAGGTCAGATGCAAACGGGCAGGAAGGTGACAGAGGCCGGGGTGGTGATGCAGACCATGTCTGCCAGCCACAGCTACGTGTGGCACCCTCTACACAGGGATGCTGGTGGCCGTTTGTGGTCCACGGGATGCTGAAGCTGTCCACCAGTGACAATCCCGACATCAAAGGGGGTTTGGTGCTGGGAGGAGGGTCCTTGTGTCTGGGCCTTGCAAACACCGAGCGAGAACAGAAAATAAGCCAAGTCCTGACGGTGACAAACAGGGACAAGAAAAACACCGTGCCCTTCAGGAGGTAAAGACAGCTTGAAAAATTATGCTTATGGGGGAGGGAGGAGGAGGAGAGACATCTGTTCTTGTTTATTCATTCATGTTTCTACTAGCCTTTATTATATTTAGAATACGCTAGGTGATACTAGAAGTATTTTGCACCTAGCGATGATCTGGGGAGCGGGAGTGCTCTTTGGCAGCCTTTACAGCTCCTCCTGGCCCAGGTTTCCTTACACATATTTGACACTTTTGGTGCAGGTTCCGCTGCATTTGCATCTGCACTGTTATCAAACGGAGGTGTGAGCTCGGATCTTCTTTGTTCTGTTGTTTTGCTTTATATTTTCTTTCGCTAGCAGGCTGTAATCAGACAGGAGCAGAGGGAAACCAAATGTCATTAAGGACCGTGAGAGCTCTGCCCTTTCTGAGCAGGGAAGTCTTTAATTTCTTTGACAGCTAAATGGGAGAAAACAAAACACGATGTTCCTTGTATTTTTAAACAGTCGCTGGAATGAAAAAGGATCAATTCTGAGATGAAAGAATTAATCTTACAACCAATGCTTGAAAAATGGTGGTGTCTCTGTTTGATGTTTGGAGAAATACTAGGCTGGGACACGGTTATAGCCTCTGCGGGTGCCCTTGTAGAGAGGCAGAAAACTGAAAACCAGCTCATTGCTTCTTAGAAAGTCTATCAAGGACATCAGGCATACAATGTAATTTCTGTAAACTGCTTTAATCTGATCTTATTTTCAATAATAGTGAGGTTTAATGATCACTTTGTCTTAACCCACTTTCCTTTTTCCCTGGTCCGACCGGAAAAATCCTTCGAGTGGAGGGAGAGGAAGGAACCAGAGCCTGCAGCCCCAGCAGCTCGCAGCCCGGCCAGCTTCGTGCTCTTAGACAGGAATTAGCTGAGTAGGTCTCCCCTGACATGTGGAAACATGATTTTCCTTTTGCTATATCCTGATGGATTCTGCAGGCTTTTACTCACAGAGAACTCTCTCTCTGGTGTTTGTGATAAGAGTTAATTTGGCTGCAAATTGATCAGAAGCTTTAAATGCACGGCTCCCAGCCTTTCCAGGATGAGAGCCAGCTCTGAAACCCTCCCGGTGTCTGACAGTCATTCTGCAGGACTCATCCCCAAATAAAGCATCAGCGTGCGAGACAGATCTGTACCTTGTGTACTTCATCACGTCCTATCTTACCATCGCAGTGGGTTTTTCACCTGGGGGGTTTATTTGATGCTGTCTGGGTGTTGAGGCTGTAAGCCACGCTCTGTGCCCGGCGCGGTCCGTACCATGGAACGCTGCCTGTCCTGATGCTCAGGTGGTGCAGAACAGCCCAAGCAGGGCTGTGGTTTCTCATGCAACCTCAGCATGAGGGACATGCCTCAGCCTTCCTTAGGAGTGGTTTTAAGCCAAATTACCCAAGGGGAGTGGATTGCTGGGCTGTTGGGATTTGTCCTCCCATTCAGCTCCCAGTTCCTTTCTCCTCTGTGCTCACTCTCTGGTAGCTTCCTCATAATTCATTCCTGGAAAAGAGAGGGTGGGAACGGAAATTCTCCATTAGACCTCCCTCCCCCAGTGCCACAGTGCCTATGGTAATGGGCAAGCTAGACTCCTCCTGGTTTTAAGCACCACATACAAATCATCCCTGTTCAATTACAGCAAACTTACGCTGCCAGCTACCACCGCTGACTGCCGCATCAGCAAGGACTAAACCTGGCCAGAGGAGCTTCTGATCAAGAAAACAGATTTTCTAGGGTCCGGAAGAGTCATTATGTTGGATCAGATCCATCTGCTGGCTGCCGTGACAGTCCTAGGAGTCCTGGAGCAAGGTAGGGACCATTGGATGCACATGCCCAAGTACTTTCTGGGTCAGTCTGCTGCACCTCCATTGATTTCATTTCACTTCCACATTTTCATTTCTGCCGTTGCACTGGCACTTCCCTGCTTTTCAGATAGTAGATTGATATCTTGTCTGGGTTTTGAACAGTATTCAACGAAACGAGTGCGTGGGAAGCCTTTCCTCTGAACTGACATACCTCCTCAGTTCAGAAATTTCTTAGTAGATCTTCTCCCCTGCAAACATGTAGAGTTTCTTTCTTTGAACAGAAGGTTTACAGCAGTTCCTGAGGCTCGTGTAGACATTAGCATACAATGAGCACTGCGGTGCAGAGAGGTGGAAGAATGGGCTGCAGTGGGTCACACGGGATGTCTCCCAGCCGTGGTTCCACGTTGCAGGACAATTTAATTCGGTGTCTGGGTTGGTTATCTGTGGCATCAGTTCCCTCCCTACTCAGCTGTCGGGATTTAGAAGAGGAAACAATTAAAACTTTTAAAACAACCTTAAAATTGGCAGTAAAAAAGTGCATCTCAACAGTGTAACAATTTCTGTAGGTAATAGATGATCTGTTAATTACACAGGAGAGAAAGCCGATATCCGTTGGTGGTACATGACTGCATACTCCTTGCTTCACTGTTGCACTGGGTCACTCATTTTCCTTGTCTGAAACTTCATCTGGGATTTTCATCCGGTTTTCTCTGCTATGTGGGGGTGCAAGATTAGGAGGAGACCGCAGACCTTTTGCCCTTACCTCTGCCAGACTCCTGGCCCTGCTGGGCCCAGCAGAGGACTCACCACTGCTACTTTTCTCTCTTTTGCTGCAGCCTACTTCTTCCTCCAGGTGATCTATGCCAGGAGGGCGTTTCGCATTTCTCCTCCACAGATCTCAGGCCCACCTGAATTTGAGAGGATCTTTCGAGCACAGTAAGAAACTCCTCTTAAAAGATGTTTTCCAGATCTCGTGGCTAACGGCACTGCCCCTCCCCTGCTTTCCCATTCATTTCTCGGGACTGTAATTCAGTAGTTACCCACCTCTCTGGGCTTAAATTAATGGGTTTAAGAGTTGGCATTGAGACTGTGTCCTAAACACACTGGCCACTGGTGATAAAAATTGCACAGACTCTCTGCTGTAGAGCGAAGGGCTGCTAAAGACATAGTCGTTGGTGCCTGAGACTTGGGCTGGTTTTAGCCAAGCGGTGTCAGAGCCTCAGGCAGCTTCAGCCCTGCTCTGAACCCCACTCGTGGGGAAGGACAAGCTCCCAGAGAGATCTCAGCTGTGGCTGGGACCGCATAGCCACAATCCAGCATCTCTGCCATGGCATCTGTGCTAGGGCTGCAGCGGGGAGGGAGGCAGAGAGGGGAAAAAGCTTCAACTTTTGCTGCAGCTGAGCACCGAAAAAAAAAAAGCAACCTGGCAGCAGGAGCAAGATCCCCTCAGCCATCCCCTTCTCTGCTCCTTTGCCAGCCTGGATTCAGCCTCATCCAGGTTCTTTTGGTCCTGCAGCATTGTCTTTGGGGGGGGACAGGGCATGGCGTACAAACAATCCACACGGCAGCGTGCTCCCTCCCACTCCTGCATGAAGTCCAAAGTGTTCTGGCCTTATCTGCTTAAGATACACTTCACCCTAAACGTGTCTGCAGCCTGCTGGGACAGACCTTCCTGCGGCTTCGGGGCCTTCACAGCAGGATTTAAGCTGCAGCTCTCGGGAAGGGGCAGTGGGAGTGGTTCACGGAGCCTTTTTGTGCACGGTCTGACCTGGGCATCTTTTACTTAATTTCTTTTGCTCTGGAAACCCAGTTCCTTCCTCTGTTTAATTCCTGTGGATAAAGGTGGGACAGGAACTGGGGGGGGAAAGTGCAAGCCTGAAGGTTTTTATGGTGGCATCAGCTCTGAAAAGCAACAGCCTCTGGAAACTGCTATGCAAAGCAAAAAAGGAGGATCTTCCCCCTTTCCCTTCTTTATGGCCTTCCTCTTTCCTTCCAGGGTGAACTGCTCTGAGTATTTTCCCATTTTCCTGGCACTTCTGTGGCAGGCTGGACTCTTCTTCCATCAAGGTGAGAACCCGTTACCTGGTTTGTCACTGGATCTCTTCCCCTGGGTGCTGGCTCAGTCCTCAGGTCCCGCTCACCTTCTGAACAATAAATTAGGCAGTGATTCTGTCTCTGGTGGGAGGGTAGAGGCAGAGGACACACAGCCTCTATTCCACCTGCTTGGCTCAAAGGAGCTCTACAAAGCCTTTGGAAATGGTCACTGAGATCTCTTTTAACTCCAGGTCTGGCTGCAGCCTTGGGTCTACTCTATCTCTACGCCCGCTACCGCTACTTTATGGGATACAAAGCATCGTCCTCAGCAAGGTAAATGCCTCTGCCAGCCTGTGGGTTTGCATTTGGGAACAGAATGTGCTTTGCAGAAGCTCAGGAGTCCCTCTGGCTGCTTCGGGGTCCCTGCGTGACTCAGCCTTGCCAAGCTAACGTGGGCATGGATGGGTGCAGGGCTGGGCCAGAGACACAGACACCAGGCAAGGCTGGAGCTGCCCGGAGCTGTTGTGGGGGTGTGTGTGCTCCCTCGAGACAGGAGCACGGGACCCCACGCAGGGGACCGGGAACAGCCAGGGGCTGCATTTCCACCCCCCTTCTCCAGGGAGGAAGGGACTATTCCCGGGCCAGAGCAGGGATGCTCGGTCTCAGCAGACTCTCTCTCTTCCTTCAGGCTCGCCCCGATATACTTCAGCAGTGGAGTTCTCTGGATTCTCACTGCAGCATCAGCCCTGGGCATCTTGCATTTCTTCCTCTCTCACTACGTGGGGCTGAACGTCCTCCGGCCTCTCAGAGCATGACCTGCTCCTCTGTCCCTCATCGGTGTCCTCGCCTCGGAGTCCTGCTCCCTCCTGCCCGTGGTAACAGACTGGCAGTACCTAATGCAGCACAAATGTCAAGTCCACCCTCACCTGAGGTTTTAACACCTCCCTCCTCAGTGCCCAGGACCAGCACAAACTGCTCAGCTCCTCAAGAGGTATTTTTCCCCCCATGGCACTCTCTGTGCCAAATGCTCCATATCCAGCAGCTCTTTCATGCCTGATGTGGAAACAATGCTCCAAAACAAGGATAATTTTAGGAAAACCGGACACATAAAAGCAAACTCATCTCAGCCTGAGCTTCCCAGTGAGCCACCCCAGGGAATCGCCATGCGCTTCCCTTTTCCCAGTGGCTCTGCCTTCAGCCCAGGCACCAAACGCGGGTTCATGCTAGTTTTCCAAGGCCCACACCTAAGAAAGGCATTTATTTGAAACCAGATGTGGGCTGAGGCATAACAAAAGAGGCGAGAGATAAACAGGAGCAGCCATCAACATGTTGTGTGAAAGTCTGCTACTGCCCTGGTAATGGTTATTGGCCATTGCCTGTGGGCGGCATCGTAAATCAGACTGCGCAAACTCATGTAGAACTTTGAATATGCTGAGTGACAACGTGCACAAATAAAAAAGCCCTGAGCTTGCTGTGCTGGGCTTCTCCTTGTGGGTATGCAATTAGCAGAGAACAAAACCACAAGTGTTTGAGCGCAAAGCGGCTGCCCGGGTTCCCTCGCTGTGCAGCACAAGGCAGCCTGAGACCCTCTGTCCCATGGGAGGAGAGCTCTGGGTAGGGAGACGCTGATTTTCAGAAGTGCTGAGCTCCTGGATCAGGGGCTGAGCCGCTCAGCACCAAACAGTGGTCCCCACGGGGTGGTCTGGCTGGTGCTCAGGTCCCGCTCTGGGCTTGGCCCCCCTGCAGCAGGAAGGACTGGATTTTCACGGGAGCTCAGTATTCACAGTGCTGATGCTTTTGGCCATGGGTCTGCTTACGTTAGTGACGGGGCTCAGAAAATGCCAGTGGTGCCCCGTGCCATCGTCACAGGGGGACTTCACGCCAAACCCTGACAACAGAAACATAACACACTGCCAGTCTAAACACATTTTAAAGCCCACTGTCCTCTCCTCCCTTTCCCAGCAGTTTGCATATCTAGACTGTAAAAACAAAAGGCAGGGTTTTTTTGGAAGAAGTGATTAATTTTTCACATTGTTTCATTTCCTTCCCCACATTTTAAATTGGCTTATCCAGCAAAGCCCCCAGTCCGTTTCCCTTTCAGGCTCTCCTGCCTTGGAGTTACGCTGCTGCGTTGAAGTTGGAAAACACTGCAGGGAAAGGCTTAAATCTTAGCCAAAATAACTGTACAGCGCTTGCCTATGCAAAGTTTTCAGTGCAGCAGGGCCCCATCCTTACAGGAACCCCTGGGTGTCACAGGAAGATAAACAACAACAAAATAACTTTTTTTTCTAGCAGCTTTGATAAAGCCAAGCACTATTTAACCCCAGCCCTGGCTTAGGGAGGCCAGGGAGGAAGAGATACACCTCTTGCCTCCAGTGAGACTTTACTTAGCCTCTACATTCACACGTCCCACCATCTCCTGAAGTTAATTCTCAGTCCTCACCTTTTTACCAGCATAACCAGTCACCTCCCAGAGGATTAATACAGAAGTACCAGCCCCAGCTGCCGGTGCAGGTCCTGGCTCCCTGTCAAAACCCTTCTGTCTCGGGTCAGTCCGAGGTGGTGCTCACCGGTTCTGCAGACACAACCTCCATCTTTTACCGTGCAACCAGTTTTCTTACCCCGTCGTATCGGCCCCGGAGCCACTACCCACCTCAGCCCCGCTCCTCTCTGCTCTGCGTGTGACAGGGCTGCAGAATGACTCAGAGGAGGGAAGTTAATGATTCAGCAGCAAGGCCGTGGCAAGCCGCCTTCTTCCCCTGGATGCAGAGATCATCGTTAAAAACCTTGGTGCAGCGCAGCCAGGTTCTGGCCCCAGGTACCCGCCGTCGCTACCTCTGCCACGGAAAAACTGCGGGGCACATCATCCCCTTCAAACAATTGTCAGAGGTGTCATCTCAGGTGCTTCTAGCAGAGGGAAGCTCCTCCCCTCCGTCAGGGATGCTGTCGTTACTTGGGTACTTCATAACTGTCACCAGAGAAAATCACTTTGCGCTGGACCATGGTTCGGCGATGCAGTCCCTGATGGTGGTTTCAGGATTTGATGGTGGTTTCAGGATTGAGCCAATTCGTGTCGCTGCTGTAGGAAACCGCTCTGCCCACCCGCAGTGGGGCCACGTCAGGTGAGACGGGGTCTGTCCCTGCCCACCCCAAGGCCACACAGCTCTGGGGTCACCATCCAGCTGGGGTAAAGACCGTCCCGTGAGCCCCAGTTTGACAGCAACCCAACTGCCTCGGTGCTGCTGCCCGGCCGGTGGCAGATCTTTGAGGTCCCTTCCAACCCTAACCATTCTATGATTCTGTGATTCTATAACTACCTGAAGGGGGGTGTAGAGAAGCAGGGGTTGGTCTCGTCTCCCAAGTCACAGGAGATAGGACAAGGGGAAATGGCCTCAAGTTGCACCAGGGGAGGTTTAGATTGGATATTAGGAAACATTTCTTCACGGAAAGGGTTATCCAGCATTGGAATAGGCTGCCCAGGGAAGTGGTTGAGGCACCATCCCTGGAGGTGTTCCAAAGACGGGTTGACATGGTCCTCAAGAACATGGTTTAGTGGGTTTTTTTTGTTGGTTTTTTTTTTAATTGCTTATTTCTTATTTTTTTTTGTCAGAGTAAGGTTGATGGTTGGGCTAGATGATCTTTAAGGTCCCTTCCAACCTCGATGATCCTATGATTCTGGCAGGGGCAGGTTCCTCGCTGCTGCCCCGTCCCCTCTGCCCCCTCCCCACCCACCCGAGAGCCGGGATGGAGGGGTGGGGGGGCTGCCCCACGCAACCACCTCAGCTCCCCCCCACCCAGCTTAATTTTGTGTCCTAGGTTAATTTTGTCTCCTGGCTTAATTTTGTGTCCTGGCTTAATTTTCTTCTGGTCCGCCTATGATTCTGGCAGGGGCAGGTTCCTCGCTGCTGCCCCGTCCCCTCTGCCCCCTCCCCACCCACCCGAGAGCCGGGATGGAGGGGTGGGGGGGCTGCCCCACGCAACCACCTCAGCTCCCCCCCACCCAGCTTAATTTTGTGTCCTAGGTTAATTTTGTCTCCTGGCTTAATTTTGTGTCCTGGCTTAATTTTCTTCTGGTCCGGCGAGATCAAGCTGAATGAGGGAAGAGCTGGGGATGATGGCGGGGGGGGGAGGACACACGTCTGGGCCGGCAGCAGAGCCGAGGCCGGGACAGAGGATCCGCAGGCTGTGCCTGAGCTCCCCGGTCCCCCCCCGGTCCCTCCCCGGTCCCCGCCGCTCCGGTAGCAAGCCCTTCCCGGGCTCCGGCCGCCGCGCTCGGGAGAGGGCGCTGGTGCGACGCGGCTGCGGCCGCCGGGACCGGAGGGGGGGGACCGGGGGGGAATGATCGGGGCTGGGGGGGGACACACCGGCAGGGAGCTGCTCCCGGGGCGGCAGCCTGCGGCAGGGCCGTCGGTCAGTGCACCCCAAGAGGGGCCCAGGGCATCCCGGGCATGGTGGCGCTCCCGAACCAACCCTCCTGCTTCGAGCTTCATCTCTGCTGGGCCAGACCCCGGCCTGAAGGTTCTTGGGGTGGGGGAAACCCAAACCACGACACCCTGGGGCAGAAGTCTCCTGGAGACAGCTGGCCACAGACACAAGAGCCCTCCACAAGGGCTTTGCGTGTTCCCTCCTGCTTCCTGCCCTTACAGCTGGCAGTTCAGCATCAGCAACGGGGAGGAAAAGGTTTAATGTGTGGATATTTGGAAGCCAGTCTGCACCGATACAGCCACAGCCTCCCAGGAGAAGCAGCCAGCTGGACGGCAGGCCAGCAGAGAGCGAAGGAAACCTGCAGAACCAGAGAGAACTTTTTTTTTTTTTTTTTTTTTTTTTTAAACACATGCTTTTTTTTTTTTTTTTTTTTAATCGCAAGAAAAGCCCGGGCTGAACTTGTAAACAACCCTCCGTCCCCGGATGGGACTTGTCCCCACGCCAGCAAATGAGTGAGGATGAAAGTGCACAGCTCTGTCCCCCTGACGAAGCAACTCCCACCCGCTGCAGGGACGGCCGGCACACACATCTTCCCGTTTCTGCCTTTGTAGGAACCTGCCCGGGTTCCTGAAAGTCTCTTGTACCGCGTTGCAGAAGTTCATAGCTTATTTTTTATCTCAAAAACTTCAAGGGCGCCCCACGTGTACTTTCCTACCCGTCATGTGACGGCCCCGCGTGCGATAATGTGCGCAGACGCCAGCGGGTTTAGACGTGGCCACCAGCCACCAGGAACATTGTGCCCTGGGACCAAGGAAAAAATGCACCCGAGCCCATGGGAGAGCACCCGGTCCCTCCGGAGTGTGGTTTGGTGGGATGGATGGAGCACACCCTTGAATTTCCCGGGGAAACAGCACTGCTAATTCTCTTTGGGGGTGTTTGGGAGGGGAAAGGCCTGTGGGGCTGGGAGAAGAGGGTGCAGCTGGTGGCCCTGGCTTTGTGGCACTGGCATGTCACCCAGGTTTCCATAGCACCAGCATCCATAACACGGGGCCAAGGGGAGGGAAAGAAGTAGGTCAGACTGGGCTAACAATACCCAGACGTGTCTATCGACAACTCAGCCTGATCTGGGAAAGGGTGTGAAACAGGAGAAAGGGAGAGGGAAAAGGGAAAAAAAAAAAAAAAAAAAAAGGAAAATACAAAGTGTCGATAGTTTGAGCATCGCATTTCTTTCCCTCAGAAAAATAAGGACTTTTTAAAGCCACCTTTGTGTATCAGTACTGAGAGATGGAGACTAGCACCCACCTCCTGCCCATCTGACAACAGACTCCAAGGGAATTCAAATGCTAATTTGGAGCCAGACTTCTCAATGGCTCTTTATTTCTGCAGCAGCTCCAGGACGGGAGCTCTGGGGAACCCGCCGGCTGGAGCTGGGAGGATGCTGGTCTCTGGACCAGTACTGGGGGAAACGCTTTCCTTCCCCCTTTCCGTTCCTCATCCTGATTTGCTTACCTCCCCGTGTCTTCATTTTACTTGTTTACATTCAAGTGACTTCAAGGGCAAGGAAAAGGAAAGGCTGGAGTTGTGTAACTGAAATAACTGCGGGAGTGACCCATTTTATGTGCTGAGTCTGCAGAGGCCTCGTTCTCAACGTAACAGCGTTTTGACGCTTGCTGGAGTGCAGCACAGTCGTTTTGAATGATGTATCCATTAGTGCCAAAACTGAGGAGAACATTACGGGCAACCAGAACATGATGGTACCCAGAACCCTCTTGATCTGAGTAAACATACAGACACAGAGTGGGTAACAGCAGGATCAGAGGAAGGAGGAGCACTTTGCTCCGGGGCAATAGGAGGGTGTAGGTGCAAGAGCACAACCCCTCAGTGGAGACTGAGATGGAATGGGGTGAAGAGCGTGACCGTGGCTGACCCCTGTCATCCCTGTGGTTTGACAGCATCGTGTGTGGCTCCAACACCGCGCCGTCGTGGGAGAGAAGCAGCTGTGGATGGAGGCACAGGGTGTTTCAGACAGGCCGCTCACCCGCAGGCAAATACTCCCTTCACGTTACCACAGCCCCGTGCAGTAAAAGCCATTCCTGGGTTTGGGGTAAAATCCAAGCAAAGCTACCTGCCACTTTGTATGTTAGTAGGTCAAGACAATGGAGGCCAGGAAAATCCACGCTCTAAGGCTAAAATTTGCCCCATCTTCATCAGTTTTATACCTCCCAGCGGTTATCACTTGTAAGAGAGCACCAAGAATTCATTTTACCACTGGTGAGGGCAGAGCCACAGTATATACAAGGTGGACAGGGCTTAACGTGTGTGTCCCTTTGTGAATGCCCTCCCTCTAAAAGAAAACTTAGATATTTGCTGTGGCAGCTTAGGAAGGAGCAGTGCCCTGCTCCAGCCCTCACCGATGCTGAGCCCGACTCTGTGTCCAGAGATTTCCAGGG